CATTATCTCACCAAGCAAGACGCTAGAAGAGGGTCCAGGCTTGGCGAGCTACGTCTGGCTTACAGGCCGGGCGAGCCCTCATCGGAGCAGTGACTATCCCCACTACCGGGCCCTGCAGCAGCCGGTGCTCTCTGGGTCCCCAGCGCACCTTGGCTGCTCCTTCCACTGCCTTTACTGAAATGCAAATGCCGCCGGGAGCTGGAGCTCAAGCTGCTGCTGAAAGCCCGCATTTTACAGACAAGACCCAGACTGACGCTGGGACCGGCTCCAGGCTACAAAGCCGGCTACGGAGGCGTCAGCAAGTCTGGATACAGACGGCTCTTAGCATGCTGCCTGCAACAGGTCAACTCCATTTCTGCCATTTCTGGCCTCTCCTGTCGAGAATCTCTTTTTCAGAGCTTAGAGAAAACAACGAGAGAATCACCCCCTTGAACTCAGTTCTCACGAGAAGGAGGAAGAGAACCTTGGGAGAACGCACCGTGTTCCTCTGCGCTCAAACACAACCTCAGCGGGGAGACACACGGCTCCCCAGGATTCTGTGAGCACAGGCTGAGCCCGGCGGGCTGCCCGTTCCAGAGCTTTCCCGACACGAACTGCCGGTCACCGCGGGGGTGTGCGGACACGTCTGTCCCGTGGCCGGCCGCACACACAGAGTCCAAGCCAGGTGCACAGACGTGCTAGGCAGGCACGGTGCCGTCACCCACTTACCACAAGACCTGTTCTAATTGCATTTTTTTAAAAGCAGGCTCCACGCCGAGTGTGCAGCCAGACACGGGGCCCGACCCCACGACCCTGAGATCAGCCGCCGAGTGGAGATCGAGTCGGTGCTTAACCGACGGCGCCCCCCGCAGAAGGCCTCCTCAAGTTAGGCCGGGAAGGGAGCCCATCCAGGGAGGGGCGCGCTCCCGGGGGCGTCCGACAGCCGGCCGTGGACGCCGGCCGCCTTCCCTCCCCGCCCGCCCTGGGCCCCGGCGTGCGGACACGGGCTGCAGCGCGGCCCCGCCCCGCGAGGCACCTTCCGCGAGCTCGGACCCCGGCGGCCCTGCGTCCTCGTCGGGGCCGTCCGCTCTCCTCCAGAAGAACGCAACCAGCTTGGTCGCGAGTCGCAGCATGGCCCGGCCGCCGCCCAGACTCCGCACCGCCAGCCGCCGGGGGGTGAGCGCACGCGGCCACGCGGTTCCCGCCGCCCTCGGCCAATGGGGTCTGAGCACCCGCGCCTGCGCCCGTGCCACACAGCCTCAGCCAATGGGGTCGGCGCAACCGCGCCTGCGCCTGCGCCTCACACCCTCGGCCAATGGGCTCGCCGCACGCGCCGCGGCCGTTACCAGCTGGTGGCTGGCGGTTGGCGACCGTTCGCATGCCGCCCAGTGAGGCGAGGTGCCGGTGGGCGAGACGTCGCGCTGGGCGCCCGATGTCGCGCTGTGGGTGGAGCCTCGTGCGGGCGGGCGTCCGGTGTCGGTCGGTGCGCTGCCCGGCGGTGCGCTGGCACAACCCGGTGAGGAGGTTCCACTTCTGCTCGGGGAGCTCCTGTCGTATCCGCGGTGGCATTCGTGCACTGACCGAGGCGCCCAGCTGTCCCTGGCGTCTCCCTGGGCCCCGCCTGCGGATCATCCGGCGCAGATCCCCCGCCGCCGCCGCCTCCTGCGTGCTCTAGCTGGAATTCTGTCCATCTTTTCGAAAACTACCTCTTTTCATTGATTTTTGTCTCTTCTTTATCATTTCCTGCCTTTAATCCTGTTGTTGAACTCGTGCTTTCCTAACTCCTTAAGCTGAGAATGAGATGAGTTCTCTCGAGCTCGGGTCCGGCTGCACCCTGCACGACCGGGCTGGGATTTGCGTTGTCACTCGGCGCACGGATTTTCTTTATTTTACACGGACGGGGAATAAACTTGTACATATTGGGGGATTTCAGGGATTTTGTGTTAATTCCTAATTGGATTTCGTCCTGGTTGGAGAATGCAGTGGGGACGAGCCCTCCCATCCGCCTCTGTGTCTGGAGCTGCTCCAGATGGACCCCGCGGCTCCCCCCGTTCTGTCAGCCTGGGGGCCCCGGGGTCAGTGGGACCCACCCTGACCTTCAGTAGGTCAGCCCGGGGTCCCCGGGGTTGAGGTGACCCCCCCGACCTTCAGTAGGTCAGCCCAGGGTCCCCAGGGTCGGTGTGACCCACGCGCTGTCCTTCAGTAGATCAGCCCGGGGCTCCCTGGAGTCGGTGTGACCTGTGTGCTGCCCTTCAGGTCAGCCTGGGGGCCCTGGTGTGTGTGTGTGTGTGTGTGACCTGTGTACTGTCCTTTTAGTAGGTCTGAGGGCAGCCTGAGCGTCGCTCGCCCATCCATGCCATGTTGTCATGATTCCCCTTGGAGAGCTGTGAAGGTCGTCCTTCCCCAACATCTCAGACCGGCACTGGGAGTGCATCCCGGAGTGGGACAGTCCCAGGGCTTTCCCGGGTTGGGGAGGAGACAGGTACCCAAGGCAGAGGCTGTTGGCCCCGGTTGCGCTTCCTACCAGGGTGCCAAGGAGAGGCTTGGACAACAAGGGTGGTTTGCAGCAGGGGTGTCCACTCCATGAGGCTGTCCCCTGTATCCATCAGCCCTGCATTCTGGACACTTCAGCTCGGCTCCTCAGCTGGTCCATGTGGATGCCCAACAGACCTGTCCGCCTCGGCCTCAGAAGCAAACCGCAGCCTCCTCTGCGTCAGCTGAGACGCACTGCACCTGCACTGCTCACACCGATCTCCTGACCCTCCTGCCCCACGTCATCCTCAGCGCACATTGCGTGGGCACTTCAAACCCATCCAGACGCTGCTCATGGCTCACCACCTCTGGGCTCCCCTGCCAACCCGGCCAGCAGCCTGCTCTGTGCCCAGCGGCCGGATGCTCCTGTGCCAGAACCTTCCGGAGGGTCCGCCTCGGAGTCTGTGTTGTGTCCACAGCAGGCGGAGCGAAGGCTGTGTTCACGCCCACAGGGGCCTCATCCCTCACATGATGGCTATGCCCATTGTCCTCCAGCCTGGCCACCTCAGGACCTTTGTACCTGTGGCACCTCTGTTAAGCTGTGAGACCCCTCTCCTGGCGTTTTGCGTGTCTTTGCTCAAAACGCCTGCTTCTCATTGAGGCTGCCCTGAATCCCCGACTTACTTTCCGTCACAGAGCACACAAACTCCTGTGCACCCATTAGCATGTAAACTCCGCGTGGGAAGGACGGGTCTGCCTGTGCACTCTGTAAACATTTGCTGAATAGCAGTGAAAATGTTAAAACATGAGTGGGATCTCAGCAGGCAGAGAAAGGAGGAAGGGCATTTTAGGAACAATAGTTGGTGGGAGAAAACAGGATTTGTTTTGGAAACTGGTATTGCCAACAGAAACAAGGAAGCACTTCTCCAGGGCCTGTGACTCCAGAGCCTCGGGGAGTTTGCTCCACAATCTCCGATTCGAGGCAGCCTGTTTGTATTTCTTCTTATAGAACAGCCTTGGGAAGGCGCAGCAATGGTGAAATCTGCTTGACTTTTTCTTCAAATGAAAACATGAAGGGTTCAATCTGGTCAGACCAATTCCTACTAATTCAGTTATTCAGAAGACAGTAAGGGGCACATGGGTGGTGCAGTCGGTTAAGTGTCCGACTCTTGGTTTCAGCTCAGGTCATGATCTCAGGGTCGTGGGATCGAGCCCTGCGTTGGGCTCCGATAAGGAGAGGAGATTCGCTCTCCTCCCTCTGCCCCTCCCTCCATCTCTTACCAAAAAACAAACAGTCAGTGAAGAAGTTTGGGAGATATTTCCATCCGTTCAAAACCCCTTCTTGATTTCCAGGTTGTGGTTTGTGAGAATTCTCGTCTCTGCTTGGTGGAGAAACTAAGACAACAGAGTTCATTATTCAAAACCAATGCCTCGCTTAAGCTTTATGTGGATTTGCAGTTTGAGGAGCTGGTTGTTCAGAATGCTTGGATTCGAGCCATTTTGTGGCTTCCATGTGCACAAAGACTCCATCGCTGTAACTGTCAGGGCGCCAGTGTCTCCGGGCGAAGTATGCTCCCATCCTTTGTCTTTGCTCAGGGAGCAGAACTAAAAGGCCCAGCAGGAGTGCCAGGCTGCCCACGGGAACCAGTGAGTCACAGTTCCGAGCAGGTCAAGGGCCACGCTCGCCGCGTGGAATGTGCAAGTTTGTGTGCGCCCTCGTGAAGGGGGTCTTCCTCTGGGGTCCCAGTGCATGGGGTCAGCCGCCTGAGAGGGTGTATTACAAGGTTGTGAATAAGAAGCTACTTGTTTCAAGTGCCCCCCCCCCCCCGCTGCCCCCGATTCTGAGCTCGGGGAGGGACGCTGCTCTGCTGTGAGGCCCGCCAGACCGAGACCGAGACCGAGACCGAGACCGGCCGGCCGCCGCGGCACCGAGCGGAGCTGCGCTGGGGCGGGGATGCCCGCGCTTACACAACCACCCCAGAAGCTCTCTGGGCCTCATTGAAATTCGGGAAGCAGTGCTCCCCGCCCCGGCTCCAGGGCGGCTCTGCTGGGCTTTTGTTCCTCTCTGAATAGCTGCGGCTGGAAGCCCAAAGCCGGCTGACTCGGAGCCACCCGGACACCGGACACCGGCGCTCGGGCCGAAGCCGCCGAGGTAAGCGCGCGGGCTTCACTGCTGGAGTGTGCGCCTCTTGCGCTCTGGGGCTCAGTTTGCACCTGGAGCGGCTTAGCGTGCTGCGATCCGAGCAGGCGTGGGACTGGGAATGAGGTGGCTGTGGCGGGTGCAGGTGGGGGTGCTGGGCGCCCGCGTCGCCCAGGCGCTGACGGCTGCTCGGCTCCGTTTTCCTGGGAGAGGACTTAGGTGCTTCTTGTTTCCTTCAGGTTTACTGCATTTGGTATGGATGATATTTCTTTTTCTGAAAACAACTTCCTTTAACTAGACTCGTTTCAGAGTGGTCCCAGATGAACGATTATTTCATTGCTGGTGCGTAAGTGGCAGCTGAGGGGACCCCAGAGCCACAGGTGTTGCTGTCCTGTGGCCTCTGATGCCAGTGTCTACGGCCCGAGCGCCATGACGCGGGATGAGCAGTGCGGGGAGGAGCTCAGCTACGACCGGATGCCCACCCTGGAGCGGGGCAGGCCCGAGGCCGGGAGCTACGCCCCTGACGCCAAGCCCAACGACCTTCAGCTGACCACGAGGCTGCCCCCGTGCCTCAGCCACAAGACGTGGGTCCTCTCCGTGTTGATGGGGGTGAGTAGCTCCTGGCCAGGACCAGGGAGGCATCGTCCACGGCAAGCCGTCCCCTGGGAATCCACGCGGCCTGGGAGAGCGCGGCTCCGGGGCTGCTTCTGCTTCTGGGGAGCCTCGCGGGTGCTCATGTGCTTACTTGGCATGTGTGCTCGGGATTCAGCTCAGGAATATCTACCACAGCCTCGGGGCTTCTCCGTGTTCCACCAGGCTTGGGACAGCCCAGGGCCCGTGCTGCCCCTCTGCGGGGTCGTGGGTTGTGCCCCTGGGGGTCTGGAGTTGTGCTGCACAGATGGGAGGAGGGGCTCTGCTCTGAGGGCAGGCCTCTGGCAGACTGGAGAGTGGGTCAGGGTCTCCGAGGTGGGAAGCCGGGGCCCGCTGCAGGAGGAAGCCCCAGGGCTGAGGACGCAGGCTTGGGTTCGGGGACCTTTCCCTTCAGACATGCTTGGGTGGGCACCTGACCACTGAAGGAGTCATTTTGGCCCAAGAGCAGGCTCACCTGGGGCTGGGCCACTGGACACACCTCTCTCCAGGCTGGACCCCAGGGTTCTGTGTGGCCTGGGCTGAGAGCTAGGATCCAGGCAGGGACCTCCCTCCACGCTGGGCTTCCCCAGGCCACCCTTCCCCTGAGCTGTGACCCCATCCCACTGAGACTGGAACCCCCATCCGCCCGGGGTGCAGAGGAAGCCCCTCCTCCTGGCCCCTGGACTCTGTGCACTGGCCACAGTGGCCGGTGGCCAAGGCGCGTAATGCTGCTCATCCCCCCTGCCTCACGTAGGTGTGTCTCGTGGTCTCCCTCGTTCCCCAGGCCGCTGGCCCCTGTGCTCCCATCACAGGAGGGCACACATGACCCCCGGCCCAGACCCAGAGCCTCGCCCTCGACAGTGTTCCCGTGTCCCAGGCCTGACGTGAGGCCTCGGTGCCCCTAACAGCCGGGAGGCCCTTGGCCCTGCAGTCATTGCCTGGCCATCCACTTGGATTAGCTTTGCAGAGAACACGGGACGGAGTTGTCTCCCAGCCTCCGAGCCTGGCCCTGAGGGTGGGGATGCTAAGGCTCCTGAAATTGCACTTGTTGGGTGTGAGGGTGTGTTCTGGGGAGAAGCGCCATTTCTTGCTTGAACTTTCGACAGAGGCCTCTCCCTCCCTCCCCCAAATACATGTGGAGGCCCTTAGTCTGACCCTGTGGGGAAAGAGTGGGGGGAGTCAGGTGTGGCGGGATCTCGGCGTCCATGTTGGCATCATTCTGTTACGTGGGAGAGGACTCGTTGAGCGCCTGATGTCCCGACATGCTCGAGTGGTCACCTGAACTGTGTTGCTGTTTTGCAGAGCTGTCTGCTTGTGACTTCAGGGTTTTCGCTCTATTTGGGAAACGTGTTTCCCTCGGAAATGGATTACTTACGCTGTGCCGCAGGGTCGGTAAGCATTGCTCCTCGGTCGCACCTTTCAGTACCGGGATTTGAGGTTGTGCATTTGAGTTCTTTGCTCTGAGATTTACGTGTTGCTATCACTTGCTGACTTCAGTTTCAGGTAAGATTTGATGCGTGTGAGTCTCTCGCCGCAGACTCCCGGGTGGGAAACGGCCCTTGAGTTCCTAGCAGCTGCGTGCTGCCCGTGAGCTGGCAGGGTGCCCAGTCTCTGCTCCCTCAGGACAAAGCTCCTTGAAAGACTTTGACCCATCCCCTGCTGTTCTCTCTGGAGCCTTCTAGGTGGCCCTTTGTCACCACTGGAGTGGCCCTTCTTGGGGGTCCCAGTGACGTCTAGCCCAGATGCTCCTGGGCAGCACTGACCTAGGCTGGACATTTCAGCAAAATCCTTGGCAGTGCCCTTCACCCTCCAAGTGACAGGCCGGGGAGACAAGCCACATGGCCCACTGGTTCCCCTCCACCCTTGCAGGCTCTGTCCCCATAGCTCGAGGGGTCTGTGGGGGTCCTGGTGCCCGCAGGGGTGACACCGGGCATGGCCCACGACGCGCAGGCTGGTGCCCTTCCCTCCACCTCCCCACTGCCCTGACACCCCATGCTTGCCCCCACGCTTGCCTTCTTCCTCGTCCTCCACTTCTGTGGGGATCAACTGCAGGGTCTCCAAGAACCTCCTCGGGGCTCTGGGACTCCGGAACATTTCCACTTATTCACACACAGATGCGTTTCCCTTTTGGGGTAATTCTCAAGCTAAGACAAACTCACTCTTATGCAGTTGGTAGAGGTGACAGTCCGGCTCTAAGTGTGTTCAGCCCCTTTCATCTTTTCAGAAAAATTAAAGTTTTTCCAGAATAAATCATTTTGAAAGGCATGAGACCTTCCACTGCTGGCAGCACCCCTGTGCCTGCAGGCGGGTGGCCCTCGTTTGGCCGACAGGTCTTGGGTCATTCCGGAAGTGTAAGCCCTGCAGGTAGGGACGCCAGGTGGCTCGCCGCTGGCTCACGGAGCTCTGGTTTCCTTTCAGTGCCTTCCCTCAGCAATCGTGAGCTTCGCTATTTCACGGAGAAACATCAGTGCGGTGAGTCCTGGCCTCCGTGCAGTCTCTGCAGGTGTGCGGGCCGCAGCATGGCTATGGGGGAGCCTCTGAGGGCAGGACAAGCCAGGCCGTGGGCTGGGGAAGCAGGCCAGGCCGCCTGCGGGGCTGACGGGCACCCACCCGTGCGTGCGTGTGCGCGTGTGCGCGTGTGCATGTGTGCATACATGTGTGAGCGTCTGGATGTGCGCACGTGTGCGCGTGTGCGCGTGTGCATGTGTGCATACATGTGTGAGCGTCTGGCGTGTGCGCGTGTGCATGTGTGCATACATGTGTGAGCGTCTGGATGTGCGCACGTGTGTATGTGCACATACATGTGTGAGCGCGTGCATGTGCACATGTGCAAGCGTGTATGTGCACGTACACGTGCGCGCGCGTGTGCGAGAGCGTGTACACGTGTGCACATGTGCAAGAGCGTGTATGTGCATGTACATGTGCGTACATGTGCACGTGCATGTGTGAGCGTGTGCATGTGCATGTGTGTGAGCGTGTATGTGCATGTACATGTGTGCACGTGCATGTGTGTGAGCGTGTGCACATCTGTGCGTGTGTGTGTGGGTGAGAGCGCGTATGCGCATGTACATGTGCACGCGTGTGTGCATGTGTGTGAGAGCATGTGCGCACGTGTGTATGTGCGTGTACATGTGCACGCGTGCGTGCATGTGTGTGAGAGTGTGCACATCTGCACGTGTGCATGTGGGTGAGAGCGTGTATGTGCATGTACATGTGTGCACGCATGCGTGCATATGTGTGTGCGTGTGTGTGTGTGTGCGCACACGCGCATGGAAGGGTGTGCCTCCGCTGCTGGCAGCCCCTGTGCCCCCCACAACAGGGCTTCCTGTACCCTCCCCCGACCCCGAGGGGCTGCAGGGCATGCTCCCTGGCTAGTTGTGTTGTTGTTGTTTTTTTGTTTTATTTATTTATTTTACGGAGAGAGAGAGCGTGCAAGTATGGGAGGGTGGAGGGGCAGAGGGAGAGGGAGGTTCTCAAGCAGACTCCCTGCTGAGTGTGGGGCTCGATCCCATGACCCTGAGATCACGACCTGAGCCAAAATCAAGAGTCAGATGCTCTACTACTGAGCCACCCAGGCGCCCTGCCCCCGTGCATTCTTATGTGTCATATTCTTGGGATTTTTTAATTAATGACCTGGAATTTGGTTCAATGATACCTTTAATTTTTTAGTTATGCAAAAAAGAGTGACCCCTGTCCTGTTTTCCAGATCCCTAACTTTCAGATCCTGTTTGTGTCCACATTCGCCATCACCACTGCCTGCTTGATCTGGTTTGGATGCAAACTGGTGGTGAACCCCTCAGCAATAGACGTGAGTCCCCGGGTCGGGCCGTGGGTCTTCCTGCTGCCACGGGTGCCGGGGGCTCTGGTCCCGCTGGCTCTGGTCCCGCTGAGTCTGGGCCTGAGAGGGTGCTGTCGCTGGGTTGGAAATGTGCAGTAGTCACACGGTAGGTACACATGCGTCCTAGCTCTGGAGTCCAGCAAGTTTTGAGAATTTTATTTATGCTTTTGAGAGTGGTCTTTACTTGATTGTTGCATCGATTCCAGTGGATGAATTTGTCAATAACATCTTGAATGTCTTTTTTACCATGTATTTCATCAAATCTGTGATGCTGTTGATTGGTAGGTGCACTGTTACTTTGTGTACCGCTAAGAAAAGTAGAAAAACCTTCCCATTTAAGCGATGATACCAGAAGAGAAGAGTCTCCTACGAAAGAGGACTCATCAGAGATGCCTCAAAAAAACAAACAGAAAAGCCTTGTTTTATGGGAAATCTTGAACTCCTTTCTTTCAAGGTCAGGAAGAGGATGGGGTGGCCCCGAGGAAGTGTCAGCCAGGCCCCTGAGGCAGAAACATGAACACGCTCCCGTGGACCTGGGAGGGACACTCCTGTCACCATTATCTGCAGACGAGGGTATTCCCACTAACTTTGCCATAAATTCAGCACATGTAGCAAGGTCACTGGGCGTGAAAATCAGTGTACAACACTTGGGCCAGCAACAGAACATTTTAGAACAGTAATTTAAATACAAAAATCATTTTACAGAGATAAGCGTGAAGTTCCTGGGAATAAATCAGAAGGTTTGCGAGGCTGATTTGTCGAGAATCATGAAGTCTTACTGAGAACCAGGGTGTTGTCTTTAAATCAGTCCCGCTAGGTGCGTGTGGGGGTGCCTCCCGATGGTGGCAGGACCCAGCACGTATCGTGACCAAGGGCCAGGGACGGCAGCCCCCTGGACAGCACCTGGGGACTCACCCCACAACCAGGACTTCTTAAACAGCCGTCCCCAGAAGGCAGGGGAGCCCCCGCCGCCCAGGCTGGCCCGGAGCAGCCCCACACGTGCAGACCGCTGCCCTGGATGTGGGACTCGCTGGTGCTGCTGGAGCCTGGCCAGGACAGACACAGGAGCTCATGCTGTAAGGGGGACCCCTCCCAGGGCATGTGGGGTGCTCCTGCTGTGGATCCATGGCAGAAGGAGGAAAGCACAAGTGCCCCAGGCGGCTGGAGGCACTCAGCCTTGCTGCAGTCAGAGGAGGTCAAGGAAACCACAGGGAGATGCTGTTTCCAGAAGCCATGGAAGGCAGAAGGAGCCTGCCTCCCATCTGGGACGACTCTCACGCCCTTTGGAAACAGTCTGGCGTCTGCTGGTATGTTGAAGAGCACACACACGGGGATTCTGTGCACAACCCCCCCGACAGCGCAGACCCCAGGGAAACATGTGTGCACTCAGCCAGGAAGCGTGGCTCTGGCAGCTGTGGGTATGGTGCCCAAAACCCCGAACCTAAACAGACACCTGGTGTCCATTCCCTGGACAGTGCCCCCAAATACACAGGCTGGGTAAATAGAGGCGGAGAGCCCCATGCCACCCAGCCTTCTGCTCAAGTGTGGCCTGTGGCTGCGATGCCGCCCGTCCTGGAGCTGGAACTCCAGTCGCCGCCCCACCCCGGCCAGCGCATAGGAATCCACGGGTAACCAGGCCCTCGGGGGGCTCCCAGAATATGAAGGTCGAGCCGCAGCACACTGCAAGTGCCGTTTGTGGCACTGAGGACACGTGCTCTAACGCCTGAACCATCAGTGTCTGGGGATGCATGTGTGCATGTGCGCACACACACACCACACACGTGCACACACACACGCACACACAAGTGCATGCACACACAAACACACGTGCTCACACACGCAACGTGAATACGCAGTCGCGCACACACACAACACGCGCGCGCACACGCAACGTGAATACACACTTGCGCGCACACAACACACGCGCACACACAAGTACATGCACACACAAACAACACGCGCGTGCACACGCAACGTGAATACGCACTCGCGCACACACACGCAACGTGAGTACGCACTCGTGCACGCACACGTACGCACGCACACGGGCGCACACACACACTCGCGCGCGCACACACAACACACGCGTGCACACACGCAACGTGAGTACGCACTCGTGCACGCACACAAACACGCACGCAACGTGAGTACGCACTCGTACACACACGACACGTGCGCACACATGTGCACGCACACGCAAACACACAACACACGCACGCACATGCAACGTGAACACGCACTCGCACGCACACACATGTACGCACGCACACGGGCACACAGACACACCCACACACACACACGGAAATAGAAAGCCACGGGACGGACATGACGTTTGGGGCTCCCACACGCCTCGTCCCTGCTGTGCTGGGCCCTGGGTGAGTACATGTTGATGTCCCCACACGGTGTACACAGGAGAGCCCATCTGTTCGCCGCCGTCCCCCATCCAGCTCCCTGTGAGTCTGCGCCGTGTCCTCGGTGGGGCCCCGTCTCCGCAGCATTCTTCGGGGGTGGATCCAGGTGGCTCAGCTGCGGCGAGTGGGGCCTGTCCACGCATTTCTGCGGGGTCTCCTACTCCAAGGAGCGTGCTCTGCCTGCACGCGCACAGGAGCAGCCCGGCTCTTGCCCTCCCTGCCTGCTCAGGCTCCTCAGATCCCACAAGCTGCCCTGCATCTGGTGTCACCGATGGTCTGCTGTGCCCGGGGAGCACCCCAGTGGCAGCTGCTTGTTACTTCTCTTCCGCGGTCTCATCCCCGCTGCTCCTGAGCACCTGGCTCTCTGCTGACCTCCTGAGCTTCCTGCCCCGACCACTGCCCGGTCTCGCCCTCGGCCCACTGGTAAATCGGTAAATTGAGGTTGTCTTTCTCTCCTCGAGCCCGGGACTTGCGCCCTGCCCTGTTTGTCCGTGGGGCACACTCCCCTCCCCGTCCTTCAAAGCCAAGCTCTCGGACTTCAAGGATACTTTACAACAGGTTTATCGAGTTCCTCCACAGCTGCACCTGGGATTGCATTATGATCATTTTAAGTTTATAAAATAATTTTGTGACAAGTGACATCTTTGTTATGTTAATCATCCTGGGCAAGAGCCTCCGTGGTCCCTCCATGTATTCAGATCATTTTCTGGGTCCTGTCTTAGGGCCTCAGTGTTTTGTGTATTCTTGGTCAAGTAATCCCTACATCATTTACAGATTCTGTTGCTAGTAGGGTGTCTTATTTCTTAAACGATATTTTCAGATGGATTATTGGAGTATAGAAACAGGGGATTGATTTAATTTTTTTCTTTATTTTGAAATATTTTAAGACTCAAAATAATTTGCACAAATAGGAGAGTTCCTGTGTGCCCCTCCCCAGGTTCCCCAAGCGACAGCGTCCCACATAATCAGCCAGGAGACTGACCTTTGCTGCTGAATATTCACTTAGGTGAATGTTCAAATGGTACCAGTTTTTAAATAAGAAGGGTCTTTCATCAGTTTATTTCGTGTCTGGAAACTTTGCTGAACTCTTTTATTCTTCACAGTTTTTGTGGGTTGTAGGGGTTTTTCTGTGCAGGTGAGCACGTCACCTGCGAGTACCCCCTCAGTCCTCCCGCCGGCTGGCTCTTTCTTTCTGTGGAGCTGTGGCAGGAGAGTGGGGCGTCTCTGTCTTATTCCTGACCCCACATGAGTTGCATCCAAAGAGTCTCTGTTTATAGTTTTGATGCGTAACTCTCGCCAAGTTAATAATATTCTCAAGTGCTGGTTTACCATGAGTTTTTCCATTTTAAAAACATAAACAGGAGTTGAAGTTTAATGGTTTGATTTTGCTATGTAAGATGATCTTTCCTCGCTTAGTTTATTAGATGGATAGATTTTTCTGGTGTTGAGCCTTTCTTTCCTGGAATAAACCTCCCCTGATGACAATGGTGTTTTTGTAGATATTCAGATATATAGCTGGTACCATGTTTAGGATTTCTGCATCACCTGGTGAGATGGGCCTAGGTTTCTTTCTGCCACTGGGCCATAAAGTAAACTAGGCAGCACTGATCTCTTCCGTGTTTAGGAACGACGTGATAGAGCAAACGGCTTCCTGAAAGTTGGGTAGAACTTACCTGGAGAGTCTCCCCCCAGAGCCGTTGCCGAGGGAGGACGTCATTATGAGCATCGAAGTTCTGTTTTTTCTTGTGCCAAAGTTTGGCTTTTCTCTTTTGATCAAAAATTTCTCCATATCATGAAGTTTTTCAAAATTATTAGCATGTAGTAGCTTGTAAATTGCTCACTATTTTATGTGTGCTATCTATAATTTCTCATTTTCATTCCAGAATTCCATTGGTGTCTTTATTGTATCTACCTTATTAATCTTTGCAAAGAACGAGCTCTTCTTTGGTTTGTGGCTGCCGTTCCCTGTTTACTGGTGGCCATCATTCCCGTGTCTCCAGGGCTGCTTCTGGGTTGGCTGGCGGGGGGCTCATTGTGCTGTCTGTGGTGAGCTGGCAGCCCAGCTCATTCGGGTGCACGGCCCCATCTCTGATCTCCAGCTTAGCTGCATCCCAGATTTGACACGTAGCATTTCATCCTTGTTTGGTTCTAGGTGTTTGCACGTTTCCCGTTTGCCCCTCCAGACCCACCTCCCATGCACTGCCTCCCTGTTTGTGCCAGGGAGGTGGCACGTGTGCCCGTGAGAGAGGGAGACAGGACATTAGCGAGTGGTTAGTGTGTCCGAGCCCTCCACGGTGTGGTGGGATGGGGGCTGGGTCCCGCTCACGGCCACTCCCTCCCTGCCCTGGTCCTCACTGGTCGTGCCGCCCTGGTAGGTTTCCCGTGGTTCCAGCTCCTCTGGTTGAACTTCCTCCAGTCCCTCCTCATGGCTGTCCCTGGGTTTCTTGCGAGGAATCTGATGAAACAGACCCATGGGATTATTTTTTAAAGTTTTCCATTTGTTGATGTTTTCTGATGTTATTATTATGGTCAGAATGCACAGCCTGTAGTGTAGATTCTTTGGACTTTACCAAGCTTTATTTTGTGGCTTAATAGATGGTCAGTTTTTGTTAGCATTCCACCAAATACTATAAAAGAACAAACGTTCTCTGTTTTATTTTGTGGGTAGGGTTCTGTAGATCAAACATATTAATTTCATCTGATTTTAAACGTAGGTTTTATTATTACTCAGGTCTGCTGAGGCCTGCGACCAGGAGACAGCCGCCATCGGGAAGATAGCTTCCCCCAGGAGGAGGGGGCACGCCGTGCCCGGGCTGGGGGCCGCTGGGGGAAGTATCAGCAGGCAGAGCGGGAGGGGTCGAGGGCAGGAGCCATTCCTGTGGTTTCCTCAGGAAGGAACGGACAAGGCAGGTGAACAGGCTTAGGACTGGCCTGCGTGAATACTGACCACGGGTTCCCGGGCTCACCTGGCTGTCGGGCACCTGCCCTGGGTGGTGGGAGCAGGTGAGGGAGGCCCCGAGGGTGGGAGCCCCACAGAGGGGGTGGTGGGCCGGGGCTCCGGGTTGGCTGGTTTGCATACCCTACAGTTAAATTAACTTTTTTTTTTTTTTTTTTTAGCATTTTGTTCTATGGTTATTAACAGAGGTATAGATTCCTATAATTGCAAACACAATCAAGATATGGAACAGTTCTACCACCCCCAAGGCCCCGGTCTCTTTAGTTTTTGGCAATTATGCATAGAGCTGTGTAAAGGCTCACTGATACGAACTTAAGCTTTTCTATCTTTAAATACCCAGCAGGGGCACACCACTAAGGAAGGTTTAGATCAGGGGTCAGCAGACTACAGCTCAATGGCCAAATCCAGCCTTTGGGCTAAAAATGGTTTAGAGAGAGAGACTCAGAGTCAGAGGGGGTGTGAGGCCCCCAGGCTTAGCATCTGGCCTTTGACAGGAAAAGCTGCCCAAAGCTTTGAACAGACTTCTAAACCTGTCTGTGGGATTGTCTACATTTATAAAATAAAAGTGAGGAGAGCCTGTTTGTAGACATATGTGTTCTCTTTTGGCAGATAAATTTTAATCTGATTCTGCTCCTTCTGTTGGAGCTTTTCATGGCGGCCATGGTGATCATCTCAGCACGGTCGAGTGAGGTGCATTGTAAGCAGAAGGTGGGTCCAGCCCTGTGCTGCACGGGGCACATGCCTGGCTCCCCAGAGCATGAGTCCGCAGGAGGGTAGGCTGCCCCAGGGCGCCCCATGCGGCCCCACATCTCCAGGGAGTCACGAGGCTCATGGCCTCAGGGAGGCAAAGTGGAAGATGCAACACGACCTCCCCATCGTGTGATTCTGGTCCAGTGCCCAGTGTTTCCCGTGGAGAGACCAAGTCCGCTGAGCGTGTCACCTTGAGCACCAGGACTGCAGCGGTTAATCCCGTTTTCACAGGCAGGGAGAACATTTGAACTCAGAGCACGGCCAGCAGGTGCAGAGAGCAGGGGCGGCAGCTCACCTGGGGTGCACACCTCCTCGCCCCCACGCAGCCCCTGCGAAGTCACCAGACCGAACGTGTTGTTTCCTTTCAGGGTCCCATGCCAGATAGCTCCAACGTTCTGTGTGAAGTGGCATTTCCCGCCCGGGTCCTGAAGTCCTATTCAGTAAGATAATCTTTCCTCTCTGCCTGTTATTTTTCTTTACGTGGGGGAGGTCCGTGGTGACACAGCATCCTGAGTGACCCTGCGTCCCCGGGGAGTCCTTAAGTTCACCCCTCTTCCTGCCAGAAGGGTCCTGGTTGGAAGGGTAGCGACGTGGCCACGTTCTCTGGTTACCTGTGTTCCCAGACTTGTTCTGATAACCCCCCCGCTCTGAGCGTGGTGTTCCTCGTTTCTGCTTGTGGCTCTGGAGCTTTTGGCTGGGGTTTGGAGCTGTGTCCCCAGACGCGTCCAAGTTTCCTTCTCTTGTCACTTAGCGACTCTGCATCTGCTGCAGGTGTCGGCTATGAAGCCTGTGTTGGCCGGGTCAGCGGTTGGCCCCGCAGGCTGTGTCTTTCTGCCCTGACGCTCAGCTCCGCTTGTGTTTGGGGGCGCTTCTGTCAGCAGCCTGGGACTGCCACCCTTTCCGTGGCCTCGTGGATGCAGACCCTGACGTGGGGCCTGCCTCACCGCACTACTGCGTTTATACTGAGTTTTGCCACCTCTCTGTTTTCTAGCTTCTTTGCCTTCTGCTGCCTGTGAATCGGGGGGGCGTTGTCCCTCCTTCTGCTTTTTTCCTTTTCCCACTAATTTTGAATTGGAAACTGCATTTTTCCATGTTCTCTTAGAGGTTATCCTCAGCATTTCAACATGTTGGCTCCTTTGCCCTGAGGTCTTGGAACAGCCTCTTCACGCCCCCCGTCCGCCTGCCGCACACACAGGCTTTCCCCGGTGACCCCGCCCGCGTGCTCTGCCCCCCAGGTCATCGAGGTGGCTGCCGGCGTCTCTGCCGTCCTGGGTGGAGTCATCGCTCTGAACGTGGATGACGCTGTCCCGGGGCCACACCTCTCAGTGACCTTCTTCTGGATCTTAGTGGCCGTGAGTACACTCTGGGGCCTCATCACCTGAGGAGCAACTCTGGGCTCGCTTCCCGAAGCTGGTGCTGCTCAGTGTTGAACGGAAATGCCCAGCGCCTCCCATTCGCGGCCACAGGCAGCCTTGGCAGGTGTGGGCTCCTCACCGCCGCGTGGAACAGTTGAGATGGACCCTGCACGCCCGAAGTCCACTGTGCTGTGGCAGGCCCCGGGCTCCCAGGCGTGACCACCCCAGGGCTGCTCAGCAGCGTCCCTGCAGGAGGGGCTGGCGTGCCCCACGCTGCTGCCCGGGGCCATCCCGGGTGAGCGGCCAGGACACAGTGATCCCTGGACTCGTCCTCACGCCCTGCTTCCTGGTGCTGCCCGACGGCCTGTGCATGCAGCTGCGGGAAGGCCGGGGCTGGTGTCTCCTCCCGACGCCGGGGCCGGACTCCTGCTGCATCCCAGGGCTCGGAGCAACGCCGTGGGCGCCCGTGCCCAACCTCGCCGAGCCCTGGGAACTGGCCGCTGTGCTCCCCAAGGATGGGAGCCTGGGGAGAGAGAGCAGGCAGGGAGGACGTGGCCGGAGCCACGCACCTGGTGCACAGTGGGGCTTGCGGAGGAGACAGCGTGCCCCGGGTCTGCCCAGCCAGTGCGGCTGCGCCCGTCCTTGGAGGGCCTGGGATTACAGCCTCGGGTTGTTGAGCACAGAGACCTAACACTCCCCTAACGCTGGTGGTGAGGAGACTCGCCTGAGCAGCCCTGTTGGCGTGCTCGGTGACCATGCATCACAGAGGACGTGGCCGTCGCCCCCAGACCGGCCTCCCTGGGCCTTCTCCCCAGCTGTGGAAGAACTGGCCAGGGACTGGGGGGAGCATGGAGAGGAAAGGATCTGGGGGTGGTCCGGGGATGGGAGAGGCCAGTCACAGACCAGGCAGGGGTCCAGGGCTCGGGGCCCGGCTGAGAGCCTGTCCCGGCAGCGTCCCTGGGTGGGCTGTGTGTGTGGGAACAGCCTGCCGCCACGGGCCAGTCTCCTGCCAGTCCGGGGCCTGGGGCTGGAGGAGCCACCCAGCAAACCTGAGCCCTGCTCTTGGCTTGTCGGGGCCACCGAGTCTCTTCCTAACTGGCCGCTCTGCACCCACAGTCCCCCCTGCTTCCAGCCAGAGAGCTTGTTGGAACACCTTCGCCCCTACGCTCCTTCGAGGAGCAGACTGGTGGCCCGGCCGCACCCACCCCTGCAGCCACGCCACACCCCGGCCACACGGGGCTCCCCTGTCGTGCCCGCACCAGCACCTTCAGAGTGCTGCTCCCCTCTCAGTCCTCCCGCTGCGGGGCCTACCAGTGTCCCACTCAGCCTCAGCCCGAGCCCTCCCAGCGTCCAGGGGTCCGAGCCGCTCCCACACAGGGCATGGTCGTTTCCTGTGTGGGTATGTGGCTGGGTAAGTAGAGCTTGGACACACTTGGGGTCACGGGTTCAGCGGGCTGAGCGGGCCGGCCCTGGGCTCCTCGGGAAGGATGCGTCCTCCTGCTGTGCTTCCCTGTGCCGGGATTGCGTGACCAGGATTGCATGAGAGTAAACCAGTCCCTTCCAGTAAGACGCAGCAGACCTGTGTCAGTTACAAAGGGGCAGGGGTGCTGTGCGGTGGGGCAGGGTCAGCGTGGTGGGTGGTCCTGGGGCTCCCTGAGTCGACCCGGCCGAGGCCACTCTGCAGCCAGCTGGTGTGCTCTTCAGAAATGCCCGCGTCAGCCGGAGGATGAGGGTCTCTGGTCAAGGAGACTCTAAATGCAAAGCAGGGCCACTGATTGCGTCCCAAGCCGGGAACAAAGAGCGCCTGTGACAGGACATTATCGGGGCTATGGGAGGCTCTGGACACGGGCAGTGCTGTGGAATCCGTGTGGAATTTCCCTGGTGGGTGCTGGTTGAGGGGTTCCGGAGCACACCTCCGTCTCAGCCGGCACGCACACAGCTGCTGGGGGCAGGTGGCCCGTCTCGGCCGGTGGAGCGATCCTGGGGCAGCTCCTCCGGCTGCTCTGCAGCCTCGGGGAGGCCACCCCGCTTCCGCCCGACCCGTCCCGGCCCTGCTGGCCCCGAGGATGCCGCCCCTCGAAACAGGAGAGCCCGTGCCGGAGCTGACCTCAGCCATCCCCTCTGAGGCCATGCTTTCTTTCCTCCTAGTGTTTTCCGAGTGCCATTGCCAGTCACGTCACAGCCGAGTGTCCCAGCAAGTGCCTGGTGAGTGAGGCCCTGTCCCCAGGTGCCCGGCCCCCTTCCGGGGCTGCCGCGTGATGGGCTCGCGCCCCTGGGCACGGCCGCCGAACCGGGCTGTGGGGCTGAGCAGGGGAGGCCTGCTGAGCGCCGTGCGCCGCTCTGAGGGCAGGCAGACTGCCTGTGGACACAGGCGGAGAGTCCGGAGAGAGTCCTGGGACTCAGCAAAGGGAGGAGGACGCGGCCCGCGAGCCTCAGCCTGCATCCCCATGTCCGGTCAGGTGGCCCACTGGCTGACAGGGACAGCTGCTCCGTCGGCCAATCGCCCCGCGTTCGTACTCTGCAGCACCCGTGTGCCGTGCGCCCCAGACCAGCTGGCACCGTCGTCCGACGGACGCGGCATTTGTGAGGGCGGCAGTCTCCTCCATGTGCCTCACCCCCCCACAGAGTGGGGACTTGTGTAGAAGTTGGGGGGACTCGCGTGACACAAGCCGCGCTTGGGGTTCACGGGAGCCTCAGGCGGAACCCAGACGCAGATGTGGAGAGGCGCTGTCGCAGCCACGGCTGCCGGGCCCGGCGGGCTGGCCGAAACAGAGCTCGCATCTGCTTCCCGTCAGGTGGAGGTGCTGATCGCCATCTGCAGCCTCACGTCCCCGCTGCTGTTCACTGCCTCTGGGTACCTGTCATTCAGCATCCTGAGAATCCTGGAGCTCTTCAGAGATTACCCGCCGGCCATCGAGGTACGTGTCCTGGGAGCTCTGTGCGGACGTGGCGTTGCTGCCCCGTGGGAGGAGTCGCCCAGGACGGGTGGCCCGGCCCAGCGTCCGACCTGCTGGAGCTGCTCCCACCTGTGGCCTGAGCTGCACCTGACTTCTCCCCTCTGACAGCCAGGTGTCTGCGCTCCGCTCTCTTGCCCACGCCGCCCCAGCCCTGCTCTGCGCAGGCTGCCTCTTTTTCTAAGTTTGGGCCATTCTGCCCGGTCTCACAGCCCGCCTGGACACCCCTTCTTCTCAGTGATCTTGGGGCTTCCATGCTCGCTGTAGAATCCACTCTTCATCTAGGCGTGTGACAACCTTGTTGGAATTTCTGTTGGAATCCTGTTAGGTTTATAGATAAATTTGAGGAGAATTGAGGGCCTTTTCACATATGAATGTGCCTATAACTAGGACTTTTCTAGAGTCTCTCCGTGGGCTCAGACACCGGGCACTAGGCTCATCGCTTAGATACCTTGCCTTGTTACCCGTACGTATGGTATTTGCTCCCAAATGTTTATCATGAGAAATTTCAAATATACAGAAAAATGGAAAGAATCCTGCAGTAAACACCAAGATTCCCCAGCAGTTTATGTGTTGTTTATACACACGTGTTTACACTGACAGCTGGGAGAACACACGCATGTGTGTCGCTTCTGGGAAGCCTCTGAAAGGGAGTGGCAGGTGTCTGACAATGGGACCCTTCACCGTAAATACTTTAGTGTTTCCCAGGGGGCTGCCTCCGACACACCACAGCCCCACGCAGTGTTGCCTTCACGCCGTGTGCACGGACCGTCCCAAGAGTGTGCCTCACGGCTGAAGATTTCCGAGCAGGGCCCAGCCAAGGGCCACAACTTGCCCTCGAGTCTCTCGATTCAGCACAGTCCCCGCCTCTTCCCCCATGACACTGACATTTTGGGGTCCAGGCCACGTGTCTGGGAGAAGGTCCCACGTGTGGATCTGTTTCCCATGGTGCCAGTGGGAGTGGGGTTAGGACCACGTGTGGTCACCTCCCGCCTGGTTTGGCAGCAGCTGCCGGCGTGCTGGGTGGGGGTGGGGGGCTCTCGCAGGAAGGAAATAACCATGACTGCCGTGTGAGTCGGCACCTTGCGGATGCCGCGTCCCAGCACCTCGCATGGGCTTGGCCCTGGCGGCTGGCCTTGCTTGAGCCTTTGTTTTACACTGAGGGGTGAAGAAAGGTGACGGATGCCTGGCTCTCGTGTCCCATGTCCCTGATGAGCTGGCACGCGGTGTGACCAGTGGTGCCCTTTCCTTCTGAGCGCCACCGAGGACTCACGGGCTTTCATTATATGTACGGTACTGCAGCCATTTTTCTCTGGTGCCCGAGCTAGCCCAGCCATGGCCAGAGGGAGCCCCTGCCCGCAGTCACCTCGTCCTGCCCCCCGCTGGCGATCCCAGGCCCCTTCGGAGGGGACCGTACACACGAGTCAGGATCTGGGGGCTCTGTGCGCTCATTCATGCTGGGGCATCATTGCTTCTAAGCCTCTTCAGTGGACAGAGCTGAGAAATCTAGATTTCAAAGATCCTGAATTCAAAATGTATGTACTTGAATTTTGTTAACTTGTGTTATATTTGTATCCCTTTTCTCTTTCTCCAAAAATCTTGTTTCCTGATAACATTGAACGTGGGTACTGTTTTATCTTATAATACACGTAAAATGTTTGCAAACCCACCACCAGGGCCACCAGCAGCAGCAGCCCAGCTGAGAAAGTCTGCAGCCTCCTCGGACCCCACTTAGGAGGTGACCCCGCTTGCTCGATGAAGTAACCCCTTTTCTGGGCGTGGCTGTACTGTTTGATTCGTGCTCAAATGTAACCTTTCTGTCTGTACCCCCCAGGCTGGGAGCTCTCCCGTGTCCTTTCCTGACACGTGCACACGAGGACGTCGGGGCGGGGATGGGCTGCTCCCAGCCATCTGCTGAACAACTCAGTGCACACAGGAGGTTTTGAGTCTGTGTGGTGCATCGTTAGGACATGAGCTCGGAGAGGGACTGCCGGTCAGAGGGTGGGCACGACTGTAGTTCTGTTAGACGGTGACGAGTCCCCCTCACAGGAGGTCCCATGTTCCCACCCAGTGCTGGCCTTGTCCACAGCCCGGCATGGAGGCTTGCCACACGGTTTCTTTCTTTTTTTTTTTTTTTAAAGATTTTATTTATTTATTTGACAGAGAGAGACACAGCGAGAGAGGGAACACAAGCAGGGGGAGTGGGAGAGGGAGAAGCAGGCTTCCCGCCGAGCAGGGAGCCCGACGCGGGGCTCGATCCCAGGACCTGGGATCATGACCTGAGCTGAAGGCAGATGCTTAACAGCTGAGCCACCAGGCGCCCCGCCACACGGTTTCGTCACGCGGGTGAGGCCACGTGCCCGGCGTGGCTGCCGTGGTGTCTCTCTGGACACGAGTGGCCGTGGACTGTGCCTGGCAGTGCTGACCCCTCGTTCCTGGTGGACTTGCTTCTGTGCCCTGCCCACTTTCCAGGGGCTTGGAGCTAGACCAGGATTTGGGAGGCCTCCGCGGGGCAGCTGTGACTTTTGTCCCGAGAAAGTTTCTGTTTGTTTATGTCGTTAAGTTTGTCAGTATCTTGCTTGATTGCTTCTGGATTTTCCGTGGCAATGAGAAAGGCTAGTGCTTGCGTCCAGCAGGAGTTTGCCCCAGAGCACGAGGCAGCTGGCCTTCCTGTTGACTGGAATGCCCACCTTCTCCGCCCTCGTCTGAGATGCTGCCCTGATCACAGCTGAGCTTCTGTCCCTGTCGGGGCCCATTTCTGTGCCCGACGTCTCACACGTAGTCTGGTGCCGCTCTGTTCTGGTCGTGGACGTCTGCCGGCTGGCTTCACCAGCTGGCCGTGGCTTGCCTAATTACTCATCACTGCTTCTCAGGGTTACCTCACTTTTGTTGCATGTTTGTTTTTCTGTGTACGTTTTCAAGTTGCCTGGCTCCAGAAAGCACTTTTTTCCTTAAACTGGGCTTGTGGTTAAATTTGTACCTTAACTTGAGGAGAGCTGTTTCCACAGTGACACTGTACGGAGCTGGGGTTTTGTGTTAACATTTGGTTGCTTTGTGTCTCAGCCAAAGGGGAGGCGGCTCCCCCTGATTTCTTATTACCCCTGCGGGCGCCAGGCACTCCCCAAACCCTTTCCCTCCAGCAGCCACCAGCCTCCGCTCTGGGAGAATCTGCCGCTGCCGTCTGTGTGCTTCTGCCCAGGGGCCGCGGGGCAGGCTGCTCACACACGCCTGGTCGCTTCCCCCCACGTGGACACCCTCTGTCACCACACGGGGCTCTGTTGGTGGTTGTTTCGGGGCTACCACGGGGCTTAGCCGCCTGTGGGCCGTTTTCATGTTATCTGTTAAACCCAGGACAACAGAATTTAGCGCAGAATCGATTTCCTCAACTCCCATTCATGAGCGGAAGTCCTCGTGCAGGCGTGCGCATAGCTGGCATGATTCACACAACTCACCCGCGTACTCTCGGAAGGCCGCAGGGCCTGGGGCGCTGCCTGCATCGCCTCCCTTGGCTGGAGGGCGCGGCCTGTGCCACGCGAGCTGCAGGCCCCGGTGGCTGAGGCCCCAGGCAGACCGCGCGGCTCACCGGCCCGTTTCTCGCCAGCAGTCCTATGACGTGCTGCCTCTGCTGCTCATGCTGGAGCTGCTGCTGCAGGCAGGCCTCAACACGGGCACCGTCATCCAGTGTGTGCGCTTCAAGCTGGGCGCGTCCTGGGATGCTGCGCAGACCGGCCGGCAGGAGCGCCCAGCAGGGGAGGTGAGTGGCCTTGGGCGCCGTGACTGCCCTGCGCTGGTGGGGTGGGCCCACACACAGATCCATTCCTGAGAGGATTATGGACTGAATGCCTTCAGTTTCACTCCTACAGACGCGGACAAGAAGTCGCTCAGGACCCCCTCAGGTCACAGAAGTCCCTTCCTCGGCCCCTCTCGGGGGGGGGGGCGCCCACCCAGCCCTCTACAGGGTGGCATCAGTGACCTCTGGCCAGCCCCTCTGCTGGGCTCAAGGCCACCTGGACAATACTCTGCCCCCCCCAGCTGGAAGGCCGGGGAGTCAGTGTGCTCCCCATGAGGTGCCCCCTCCCAGAGGTGTTTACAACTGTGGATGAGGGAGGCCCCGGTGCCGCAGGGTCCACGGAGGGCCTTTGTGCGAGCGCGCTCCTGCTTCCGCCACCGGCCCTCGCTCAGCCACCCCGGCCTCTCCATCCTGTCCGGCCCTTGCTCAGCCACCCCGGCCTCTCCATCCTGTCCGGTGCTGGCCTTCCTTCCCCAACATCTGCAGGCAGTGTCCTCTCCTTGTTTTCACCAGTGACAGCTGGTCTCCCGCGGGGACAGCGTTGCCCCCAGGCCCTCTGAGAGACCCACCTGGTTCTGGGTGGGGACAGCAACGTGCGGAGTCTGGTGAATGTGAGCTCCCAGCGGGTCCAGGAGAGCAGGCCCAGAGGCTCGGGGCCCGGCAGCTGGCCTCCCCGTTCCTGTGTGGGGCCTCGGCCGCAAGCCTTCTCCCTCCCTGGCTGACAGGCCCCTTCTGTGTGGGGGCGCCGGTCTCCTGCCCCCAGGAAGAGCTTGGAGGCCCTCACCCTGCCCCGTGGTGTCTGTCCTTGCCCCGTCGGGGAGTATTTATTGGGCACCTACTGTATGCAGATGCTTCTCTGTCTGCTGCTGGGATGCAGCCCCTGTGTCCTCGGCGGTCAGGCAGAGGTTCATGGCGGCCCCCCACCCCGCCCCAGAGCCCACCCCTGTCCAGGGGGGAGGTGGGGGGACGTGGGCGGCAGAGGGGCAGGGACGTCCATGTGCTCCCTCCCAGGAGTCCAGGGCTGTTTCCTATGCTGTCACAGGCTGAGAAAAGCTCTCAAGGTAACAGGTTCCTGCCTGCCTGCTGCCGCAGGGTGGGGGGGGGGCAGGAGAAATGACACCCTGCCTGTTTGGCCACAGGTGCCCAGAAGCCCCCTGAAGGAGTTCGACAAGGAGAAAGCGTGGAGGGCCGTCGTGGTGCAGATGGCCCAGTGAGCACGGGGCAGGGAGACCGAGGCAGAAGCAGGGCCCCGCCTGGCTACCACCGTCTAACCAGGCCAGGCTGCAAGGTGGCGTTTTCATAGAGTAGTTTAATTCTGCTTATCAGTCTGTCGGTTCCTGGCTCCCGAGGCACCACCTCGCGAGCAGTGGGGCCTGCGGGTGAGGCCGGGCTCGTGCGGAACCAGACCCTCTCGGGCTGATACATAGGCTCGGATGTGTGGCCAGCCCCCTTCTGCTCCTCCGGCCCCTGGCCGGCTTTCCTGGCCTGTTCCCTTTGAGCAGACAGCATACACGCTGTGCACAGCCCCACACAGGTCTTACAGGGTTTCTCTTCTGAGGTGCGCCTGGACCAGAGCCCAGCCTGCCAGCACTGCTTCTGACAAGAGAGCACAGCTGTGTGTTCCTGTCATGTCCCCGCAGCCAGGGGGCCCCTTGTCCCCAGGGCTGTGGGCACACGGCAGCCCCACACCCACAGCTGTCCCTCTGTGAAGCCCGCGTGCCCAAATGTCGGCCCTCCCGTACCTGACCCGGTTATTCCAGAAGGACCCCACCTGCTCCCTGATGCTGGTGCCTGCCATGCAGAGACCGCGTCAGCAGTGGTGGTCTGCACTTGCACCAGGGGCTTTCTACACTAGGCGTGACCCTAGCCACTGCCACAGCTCAGTGTTCTTTGTGGTGGGGCCACGTCCAAGGCTTGGAAAAGTTGGGCTCCATTTCCTGGTCTCATTGGCCTTGGTGATGCGGGTGCAGTGGGTCCCTCCCTCCTGTCATGGGTTCTGCCTCCACTCCCATCACCATGCTCAAGATACCAGACAGATGCCCCAGGAACCCGCACAGGGTCGTCTCCGTGCAGGCTCCAGCCCAGTCCATTTCCTAACCTCACTCACCTGAGGTCAGGCCCAGGCCGGGGGTCTCCTCCATCTGTCACTGCCCCCGCCCAACAGCAGAGACGGGGTGGGTGTGAGAATAACATCTGCTTCAGTTAAAGTCATGGCCCAAAATTAGTTTGCATGCCATCTCCTTGTCCCTGAGTATACCCGAATTTCTGGAAGCACAGTTAGCTTTTCCCAATTAATATGGGTGCTCATAAATCCCCAGTGAGGTGGGAGCACCTTCTGAAAACGTTCCGGGAACTGTCTTGGGGCCGTGCTTTCATTCACAAGGCTACCCACCTTTCCTCCCTGTAGGAGGAGCAGGCAGCACTCTGCTCTGCTGAAAGGTGCCGATGTTTGCTCTTTGCTGAGTTGAGGTAGCTCATTAGTGAGGGTTGTTTGGGGCTGGCTGGGTGTAGACCTAGGGGGTGGATTCCAGGATCCTCCCTGGTTTCTCATGTCCAAGCACAAGTGACTGGCTGCCCATATTCACGAGCACTGACGAGCTGGGTCATTTTGAAACAGGAGGAAAGCGGGTGAGACACAGGAGAGGGGGACTGTCCTCCGAAGGGCAGTGATAGCCTGTGCGCGCGCGCATGCACACACACACGCGCGCGCGCGTGCACGCGCGCGTGCACGCACACACACGCACACGGGCCAGCCGCAGTCCAGGTCCCCTCCCCTTCCTGCCCTCCGAATGGCAGTGATAGCCTGCGCGCGCGCACACACGCACACACACACACACACACACACACACACACGGGCGGGCCGCAGTCCAGGTCCCCTCCACTTCCTGCGGCCTCCGCGCTGGGAGGCCAGGGGGATCTGCTCAGCAGCCTGGGACGGGAGCCAGAGAAGTAGCATAGGCCATGCTGGTGTTGTCCTGGGGACAGAAAGTCTGAGTTTTAGAGATGGAATTAGACGCCTAGGGGCTTAGCACTGGCTTGTACTTTATTTCAGAGAGCTTGAGAAAAACCCGGGCAAGTGGGGTTTTAGACATTTATAATTGTCCATTTTCATTTTCGTCTGATGTTGTTTAGTATCTCCTGAGCAATAAACGCTAACATGTAACTGCGGTCTCTTTCATTTTGGGTCTCTCAGGGATCTCTCTGCCCAGGTTCTGAAAGAGAGAGGTATAGCACAGGAGGGCTGGTGGAGGTGAAGGCCATACTTTATTTTGTGATTTACGTGAGGCCATGTGGAGGTGGCGACTGGTGAGCGCTTGCTAGTGAAGACTGGAAAGGGGCACAAAGACCCCTCCCTGCCCAGGGGAACTGCCCCCCCACCCCAGCTAATGCAGAGTAAGAGCAGAACCTCACTTTTGGGTTATCTTGGGAAGTTAAGTGCAAAATAAAGATGATTTAAAACCAAATAAAGATAAATTGGTTTCTGAAATTTACCGGGAGCAAAGGCATTAATAGGATGGGTGGGTCTTTCCTATGCATCCCTCCCTCCACAAGGAGGCAGGGAGGAAGAAGGACGCAAAGGGCTCGGACTTTGGCTGGCTGGGACCCTGGGTGCACCTGGAACTCGCGGGGTGGCAGCACAGGCCCCCATGAATGACCCCGGAGACACCAAGGCCACCTCGGGTTCCTCCGTGGGACGGTAAAGCTGCCCCGCTTGCCCTGATTGCCCGCAGCCCACGAGGGGACGCTCAGTGCACAGCTCCCGCCTGGCATCACCGCCCCAGGACTGCGCTCTCCGTCTCTGCTCCCCTAGCCCGGCCGCTGGGGGGCACCAGGAGTGAGGGTCGGAGGGAGGCCTGGGTGGAGTCGGGGGCCGGTTGTGACTCTTGGTTCTTTATGACTTGGGGGCCTCTGACTGCCAGGGTGGGTCTGCTGACCCCCAACAGACCTGCGCCTGGTGACCGCGTGACCCCGGGCGGAGGCGGCGCGCCCACTCCTTCCCGAGGACACCATGGCCCAGCGCCCCGGCCCCCGCGCCTCGGACAGCAGCCCCGGCCCGGGACCCAGCGCTAACGCCACTGACCGCGGCCCCCGGGGATCCGCGCCCCACGCGCGCCGCCGGCCCCACCGCAACCACTCCCGGCGCTCCCCGCCGCCCGCGCGCCCGCGCAGCCCCACGCCCCGCGTTGGCCGCCGCACCGCGGCCCCTAGGCCCAGCGCCCCGCGCACTCCGCCGGCCAGGCTTGCACAATGCACCGCGCAGCCCCGGCCCGTTGCCCCGGGCAACCGCTGGACGCCCGGCGGCGTGGCGAGGGGCGGGGGCGCAGCGCGCCCCAAGGGGCCGATCCCGGGTGAGCACTGGCCCCCTCGCCTCGGAACCCCGGACCTGTGCCCTTGCGGATGCCAGACAGGACCCGTGCCCCGCCCTGCTTGAGCCCTCGGGAATCCCTGACGCACCCTCCCCCGTCCCGCGACTCCAGACCCCCCTCCCCTCGCCCCAGGATTCTAGGCGTCCTGCTCGGAACCCCAGAACCACTCTTCTCGGAACGTTCTCCCCTTCACCTCTCCACGCTGCTCTCGGGAGCCCAGACCTTAGTCCCCCCCCCTCCGCCCTCCCTCCCACTCCCGTTGGCGCTCCAGCCTTACCCACCCCCGTCCTCAGAAGCCCGGACCTACCCCTACAAACCTGGACTTGCCCCTCTCCCCCAGACCTGCCCCGAGACCCTACACTTGTCCTCCCCTCAACCTGGCTTCAGAGCCCCGGCACCGACCTGCCTCCCCGCGCGGGGATGCCCTCGGCCGCGAGCCCTCGCCGACGCCCCCTCTCCTTGCAGGGGCGCGAGCAGGCGCGAGGAAGGGTGAGCTGCCGGAGGCCGGAATGGAGCCGGAAGAAAGGAAGAGGCTCTCGTCCGCTTCACTGGAAGGAGACCCGAGAGAAGAGAACAGTCAGTGTCTTCTTCACCCACCTTCTGGCCACTCGTGGTTCGAGGCGGGAACGGCGTGGGGGCAAGCGGCTCAGACGTGAGGCGCAGGGCCCGGGGTTGACTCGGGACGTCCAGGGGCGTGAAGGCCCGCCGGGGCGGTCGGGGGAGCCTGGCCGCGGAGCTTGTGCTTGGGCCCCGCTCTTCTCCGGACTCGCCCCCCCCCCACCCCGCCCCGCACCCTCCAGCCCCCTGCCCTTCACCTTTCTGCCCAAGCTGGTGGACTTCAGAGCTCAACTTGGGAAAGTGGTGCGAAGTCAGATGCTCGGGGTTAAGGCGCAGTCCGGGAGAAGTCCCGGTGAGCCCTTTCCTAGGTCTGAGTAAACCCGTGCACTTGCCTTTTTGCCATTGAGCTCATTCTCGTTGGTAAATACCTAAGAGCGAACTCGCTGGGTCCAGGGTAGGCTCCTGTTCAGCTTTATGTTACCGTGCGGGGGTAAGAGCCTCAGCTGCTCCACACCCAGGCCAACAGTGGGCATCGTCCTATTCATTCTGGGCATTGGGTGGGTGTGGGGGCCGCCTCACTGTGGTTTCCATTTTACTTTCCCTTCTGGGACTCTTTGTGGAGTATCTGTTCCAGTCTTTTGGCCATTATTAAACTGGGTTGTGGGTTCTTCCTTATTGAGTGGTAGGAATTCTTTGTCCCTTCTGGACGGATACCAGTTCTTTGTCAGTTAGATGTATTATAAATACCTCTGGTCCATGGCTGGTGTTTTCAGCCACTTAACCATTCCTTTTGAAAATCAACTTCTTAGGGGCGCCTGGGTGGCTCAGTCGTTAAGCGTCTGCCTTCGGCTCAGGTCATGATCCCAGGGTCCTGGGATTGAGCCCTGCATCGGGCTTCCTGCTCTGCGGGGAGCCTGCTTCTCTCTCTCCCACTCCCCTGCTTGTGTTCCTTCTCTCACTGTGTCTCTCTCTGTCAAATAAAAAAAAAAAAAGAAAGAAAGAAAATCAACTTCTTAGTTGTAAGGAAGTTTAATTGTCAATCTTCTCTTCTATAGTTAGTGCTTTTTGAGTCTTACTAGGAAATCTATATCCACCCCATTGTTCAGAAAACAGTATCCTATGTTTTCCTTTAGAAACTTTATAATGTAACATTTCACATTCACCTCCACAATTCACAGGGATTGACTATTTTGTATGGAGTGAGGTAGGGGTCAGTGGGCAAATGTTCACTCTTCCCCCATGTGAATATCTAATTGACCCAGGTGGGCCCTGCAATGTCACCTTTGTGGAAAATCAGGCCTAGGCCTATTTTTTTGTTTTCCATTCTGTTTTATTGATTTCTCTGCCTATCCTGAGTCCATTCTACCCTGTTTTAATTCCAGTAGCTTTATAGTAAGTCTTAATATTTTGTAGTATAAGTCTTCGGACTTTATCCTTCAAGATTTGTTTAGGTTTTCTTAGACTTTTGCATTAATATATAAATTTTAGAATCAGATTGTTAATTTGACACACACCCACACACACAAGTCTTGCTGGGATTTTAATTTTGGTTACATTGAATCTATATATCAATTTGGGTGAAACCTAACATTTTATCAATATTGAGTCTTTCAACCCAGGAACATTTAGTTCTTTGATTCTTATCAACAGTGTTTTGTAATTTTCAGAGTACAGATATGGAAGACCTCTTTTGTTAGATTTACTCCTAGATATTTGATGTTTTTTAAATATAACATTGTTGAGTTTCATTTTCTAATTATTCCCAGCATATAGAAATATAATTAATTTTATTGTACTGACTTGGCATTTGGTGACTTTGCTAACTAATTCTAATAGCTGGTAGATTCATTTAGATTTCTTACGTACACAATCATCTGCAAATCTTTTCAGCTTTTATACCTTTTATTTCCTTTTCCTGCATTATTGCATTGGCTACTACTTTTAGTATAATGTTGAATAGAAGTGATATAGTGGACATCTTTTTTTGTTCCCAACAAAAAAGGTCAGGGATCATGACCTGAGCAGAAGGCAGACGCTTAATGGACTGAGCCACCCAGGTGCCCCCTTTGTTTAATCTTTCATTTACTGAGAGAAGTAGGTTAAATATCTCAATATGATTGTGGATTTTCTTTTTTTGTTTTTTAGCTTTGTCGACTTGTATCTTTATATATAATTAAGTTCATACACATTTGGAATTTTTATATCTCCCTGACAAATTGATCCTTTTAATATTATGGACTATCTCTCTTTTGTCTTTAGTAATTATTTTATTAAAGTTCTGTTAATATTTATAAGTAAATATTAGTATATATCTAAATATTTACTAAGTATCTCTAAAAGTGACATTTTCTAAATAACTAAACTCTTTTTTCACATTTGATAAGATGGACAGTAATTCCTCACTAAAATCCAATACCCAGAATATATTCATATTTCCCCATTAATCCCGGGGTCGGTTTGTTCAGATCGTGATCTGGTCAAGGACCACACATTGCATCAGGCTGTCCTTTCTCTTTGCTATTGTTTGATCTGGAGTGGCCACCCCTCTTGCCTTGTGTTTTCAGGATCTAGACTTGATGAGGACAACCTCTTGTTCAGGAGAAAGTCCTACCTTTGGGATTCATCTAGCTGTTGGCCTTGGGGTGGTTTACTCTCCTCCTCTGCCCCTCCTCTGTGATCTGGAGATGAGCTCTGGAGACCTGATAAGATTTGGGTTGAGTGTTTTGCCAAGACTCCTCAGAGGTGGTGCTGTGCCCCTAATTTGCCCGCAGAGTCTGGCCGTGCTGTCGCCAGTGCTGCAGCCCGTCGCGGGACCAGTGCTGGCCAGACCCCTCCAGGGTAGGGTTGTGTTTCCGTGGCCACCCAAGGAGTGGAGCTGTGGCACCTGGTGACTACCCAAGGCCCCTGAGTGGGGGTGGGGGACTCCGCAGAGAATCCCTCTGAGATGGGACTGGAGGTTGGGCAGGAGGTGGTGCTGGAGGTTGACGGGAAAGTACTTCTGGATCAGTGAGGAACAGGCCTGGGCAAGGGGATATCGTTGTAGGCTGCAGCGATCCCAGCCCCTGCTCTGGACACACCACGCTGCACCCACTCACCCACTCCTCACCCTCCCAGGGGGCCAGTTGCCCTGGGAGGCCCTTGTTTGAATGGCTGGTTCTCCACAAAGAACAGATGAGGAGCTGCGCTCTTTAAGGAGCGTTGTCCTCCCCGGTGGGCCTCCTCAGTCTCTGCAAAGTTCCAATCCTTCCAGAAGGTGTGCCCAGGTGCTTATTTCTGCCCTGCAGTTACGGGCTTCCAGGGAAGGTGTTGGCACGCAGGCATCTCTGATGGCCTCGGGTGAGGATTGTGTTTGCACTGCTCTCTCACTCTCAAGAGTCTTCTTGGATGACTGTACTGGGCCTGGCCAGTGACCATCATATTTTGTGACGCTCCAGTGGTCTACACTCAGCCCTCCCACCTCTGCACGCTGCTTCTGCATCTTTTTGCTGTCCCCCATCCCAGTTTGTAAGAGCCTCAGGATGCCCTGAGGGCTCCCAACTCTCCGGAGAGCTCAGATCCCTCCAGCCAGGGCAGCCCGTGCTTAGAAACCAAAGGCCGGGTGCCACAGAGGGTCGTTGCCAGGCTGTTTACGGGTGTCTCAGTTCACCAAGATTTTTCAGCCTGAATGGAAATTAGGGCTTATTAAGACTTTCTGCGTCTGTTGACATGGGATTTGCGACTTTTCCTGACTCTCTTACAATGTTTGCTTTTCTAATCCAGCCTTGGAATAACACAAGGCAGCCGTGGTGTGTACGATTCTGTCCTCTGTGTGGGAGTCACACTGGCCTGTGAGCTTCATTCCCTGGAATGTGCTGGCCTCATACAACGAGTTAGGTGTGGCCATGCCTTTTCTACTCTCGAAATGAACTGTACAAGATTAGATGTTCCGTACCATTCACCCAAGAAGCCATTAGCCCTGGAGTTTTACTGATGGGAAGGTTTTAATGACGTTTTTATGCTTCTTCTCTTTTTTATTAGTTGGTCTCACCAATTGTTTATTAATTTTGTTAGTCGTAAACCTTTGGCTTGACTAATCCTCTACTGGATTTTTAAAAATATTTCATCAATGTCTCCTTTCTGTTAATTTTCTTGTATTTCTTTGGGTTTAAATTTACCGTTCTTTCTAACATCTTGAGAGGGATGCTTAACTCACTGTTTTTAGCCTTTGCTATTTTCAAATATATGCATCTACAGCTAAAAATCTCTTTATAAATACAACTTAACCACAGCCCAAAGATTTGATATTCGGTATTTTAATTATCGTTTAGCTAAGAAATATGCAGTACTTTCCATCTCAATTCCTTCCACTCATGGCTTGCTCGGTTCCTGACAGCCCCACATGCACGGCACGTGTCTGTGGCTTCCGTGTCTTGTCCCGTCATTCAGCTAACCCTGGCTTTGCTCGTTCTAAGGCCACGCTCTTGGACCGGGGGTGCCGGGGGCTGTGTCGTTGTGCCCCCCAGCCCCTCCCACCCTCCCTCTGTTCTGGCTTTTGTCCCCATGGACCCCACATGGATGAAACCACTCACTGTGATTCCTTCTGTGCTGGGCTTCATGGGACATTTACATTGAGAATATTTTTTCTCAGTCGGTGCTTTACATTTTCCTTTTCTTAACAGAGCAGAACATGTCATTTTGCCAACTTTAACTTTTATGGCTGGTGCTTTTTGCCTGACCCAGGTCTGTGCTTTCTGCCAGAAGCTTTGTGTGTCTAGCTTTCACATGGAGGCCAGTGGTCCACTTCAGATGAACTGTTGTGTGTTGTCAGCTGGGGTTCGATTTGTGTTCTGCTTCTGGACGTGCAGTTGTCACAGCACCATCCCCACTGAAAGGCTTGGCTGCTTCTGTCTGTACTGACTGGCTGTGCAGTTGTGGGCCTCTGGGGCCCACAGGGGGAGGAAGAGCGGTGGGTGGTGGAGGGGTGTCTGCTGCTGGCCTGTCCCGCCGGCGATGTTCCTTGGACATCCAGGCACCGGGGGTCCTGGAAGTGTCAGGAGGTCTGGTGGTGTGGGTGGAAGGTGTACGTTCCAGGGGTCTGGGCATGGTGGAATTGAAAATTCCAGGGAGTGGGTGTGGACAGGAAGCATGGAGTCTGAGATCCAGGCCTGGGCACTTCCAAGGTTAGGGCATAGAGAGAGAAGAAGGGCTGCAGTGAGGAGGAAAGGGGGGCCGAGGGGAGCGGGGCTGGCCAGCCAAGGGTCCGGTGCTCCCGGGAGCCAGGGCCCGAGGGAGTGACAAGGGATCGGCTTGTGTGTGTGTGACTTTAGCATGGGTGGTATCCACGGTGGAGTCCAGCAGACGGGGATGTGGAGAAGTGTGGAGTACAGAGAGGAGGGTTTTCATTTCAATCTTTAAGGTGTGTGCTGTGGGGAGTCTGGTGGCCATAGTTAGGGGAGGAGCGGGGAGGGCTGGCCCTGACAGAGACTGGGGGGGGTCATGGCGTGGCGTGGCCACAAAGTGGGTGGGGAGCACAGCAAGGAGAGAGGGTGTGCAAGCCAGAGCTGCAGGGCGGGTGGGCGGGGGGCAGAGAGAGGGCACGGCCAGGGGATGGAGGGTTGGGGGGCACAGCCTGGGGAGGGGGCTTAGGGTTTGCAGGAGGAGGGTCTGGGGGCCAGAGGTGGGCTGGGTGGAAAGGTGATGAGTGTGCGGGTGGGCTCGGCTTCCTTTCCAAGCATCCCCCGTGCACTTTTACCTTCGCCTGGATGTCTGTTTCTCTTCTGCAGAATTAAAACGAGGAATTTCCCAAGACTTGACTTCTTCCCCCAAATTAGACAGATACAAAATAGCAAGACAATTAACAGAAAAGGCCATCAAGGTAAATGTCTTTTGGGGCTGGGGGGTGCACTTTTTAAAAGTTTTATTTATTTCCGTAATCTCTTCACCCCACGTGGGGCTCGAACTCATGACTCTGAGATCAAGAGTCCCGCTCTATTCAGACTGAGCCAGCCAGGCGCCCCAAGGTGGGGGGGGGCACTTTTTAAATGTGGAAACTTATTTTGGAATTTGGAGAGCAAGTGGGTTTCTTTGATGTGTTGAGCTCCCAGCTGCCTGCAGTCTGCCAGCCTGGGTTGGCCCTGGACCCCAGCGGGCCCCAGGGGGAGGGGAGCGGGGGTACGTCCTGTTCTTTACGGGGCAGCAGGGTCTGTCTGCTGTCCTGAGAGCACCAGGAGCCTTCGCTGGGGAAAGATGGTATTCCCCAGCTTTGCCTACATTGGCAGCCCTTGCTCAGAAGGCTGGGCATGAAGGGCTCGGGAAGTCCAGCGCATCAACCATGGGGATGTGCTCCTGAGGCTCTTCGTGCACCTGCAGAGCATGGTTCGTGAACCCCGGTTGCCATGGGACAGGCTGGGTGCACCAGGTGCGCGGTCGCCAGCAGTCCTGCCCTGGGGAGCAGGCCCCTCTCGCCCGCCTGATCCTGGTGGCTGTGTGCGCTCTCTGGGATTTCATACCAACGAACCATACCAGCTCGTTAATTCTCGGCTTTTCTGCTGAAGCCTGAAAACAGGTGAACATTTAGGGCTATAAGCATCCCTCTAAGCATTCGTTAGCTGCTTTCACAAGCTTTTATTTTTATAGTACTTTAGTTGAGATGTAGTTCAAAGTACTTTATAATTCATATTATTACTTCTCATTGATTGTGGGTTACTTAAAAGTAGAGTTCATGTCTACACTTCTGGGTTTTTTTTTTCCTATTTTTTTCATGTGTACAAGATTTTCTCATTTTATTTTATTATTTTTTTACTTTTTATTTAAATTCAATTTAATTAACATATACTGTATCATTAGTTTCAGGGGTAGAATTTAGTGATTCATCAGCTGCATACAACACCCAGTGCTCATTACATCACGTGCCCTCCTTAATGCCCATCACCCAGTTACCCCGTCCCCTCTCTCCCCTCCAGCAACTCTCAGTTTGTTTCCTATGGTTGACTCTCTTACGGTTTTTCTCCCTCTCTGATTCTGTCTTATTTTTCCCTCCCTTCCTTTATGCTCCTCTGTTTTGTTTCTTAAATTCCATATATGAATGAAATCAGATGATAATTGTCTTTCTCTGATTGACTTATTTCATTTAGCATAATACCCTTTAGCTCCAGCCATGTCTTTGCAAATGGCAAGATTTCATTTTTTTGATGGCTGCATAATATTCCATTGTGTATATATACCACATCTTCTTTATCCATTCATCCGTCAATGGACATCTGGGCTTTTTCCATAGTTGGCTATTGTGGACATTGCTGCTATAAACATTGGGGTTCAGGTGCCCCTTCGGATCACTATGTTTGTATCCTTTGGATAAATAATTGTTTTTTTTTTCTATTTATTTTGTTACTGATTTCTAGCTTGGTTGCATATGGTTGAATCTGTAATCTGCATAATGTTATTCCACTGAAGTGTGTTCCGACTTGCTTTATGCCCAGCATTTTGTGCATTTATGTGAAAGTTGACGTGGGTTACCCCACTCATAGACCTCAGGGCAGAGCTGGTTATTGCGTTGTTCAAGTCTTCGAGGCTGATGGAAATCTCTGGTCTGTGGGTTCTGTCACTGACTGAGAGAAGCATGTTAAATACCCTTTTATCAGTGTGGATTCCTTCACTTTGTGGTTGTCAAATTTTGCTTTATTATTTATAGCCCTCTTACTAGGAGCATACAAAAGCATCTTCCTGGTGAATTGAATCTTTTTGTAAATTATGGCATGATTTTCTTTAGGGGTTTATTTTGTCGCAAAGACTGTTTTGTCTCATATTTAGATTCTCTATGTTCTACCTATCTCTACGCTTATGCTTTTGATTTCCTCTTGTAAACATCATAGATTGAGGTTTTAGAAATCCAGCCTGGCACTCTTTACCTTTTACCTGGAGCCTTTGGTGGGTTTACCTATGACTGCACCCCTGGGGTCCTCGGTCATCCCCGTGTGTCCCTGCCTCCTTCCCTCGTTCAGTCTGCCCCGTCTGCTCATTTTGTGGCTCTGTGTGGACTGATTACATTTTAAATTCCATTTCCCCTGTCTTGTATGTTACAAGTCTTATACTCTGTTTTTCTTCCTTTTGTAGTTCCCTGAGGAATTTTAGCCTGTTGATTAAAATAATCAGCTTTTCTGAAGTTGTTCAGTTTGACTGTAAGCAAGGTGGGCGTTCTTGCTGGGGGTCAGGTTCCTTGCCTGTCTCTGCACGGCAGCAGCCCCTCCGTGGCCAAGGTCATCCCATCCCTCTGTCCTGGTGCACAGCCCGTGGGGGAAGAGGGCAGGCTTTGGACAGATTTTCTGTGTAGAAGGAGGCTCAGAGAGGTCCTCTGACCTGCTGGGTCTTTCCTGTGGGTGCTAGAACTGGAACTCCCGGCTTCTGGCCCGACGCGAGCTTTCTTGTATGTGTTCCTGGGTGTGGAGTGCAGGTCCTCCTTGTGGAAACTATACCGATGTTGTGTAACAAATCACCATGAGCTTAGCTACTTAAACACTTAAACATTTATTATCTCACAGCTTCTGCAGGGGCCTCTGCTCTGGATCTCTCGAGGCTGAAATGAGGCATCAGCTGGGCTGGGGTCTCATCCAGAGGCTCAGCTGGGCAAAGATCCGCTTCCAGGCTCCCTTGGCTGGTTGGCAGGATTCATTCCCTTGTGGCTGTAGAGCTGGTTTCTTCAGAGCCAGCAACGGGGAGAGGGTCTCTGCTGCTTTGACTCTCCAACTTCAGGGACGCCCTGGACCCTCTTTTTAAGAGGTGCACCTGATTAGGCCAGGCCCACCCAGTATAGTCTGTCTTTTGATTCATTCAAAGTCATCTAATTAGGGACACTGTAAGTTTGAGCCATTCCCCTCCTGCCCTGCCCCCCCCCCCGCCTGCTCCCACAAGGTCGTGAGGCACTGAGCTAACTGCTGACCCTGCCGTGTGGCCGTCGCCCTCTGTACCCTGCCCAGGCTGTGCCTCAGCAGCGTGGGCCCCAGGGGCTCCAGCATGCCCGTCACTGTCCCGTCTCCCATCCCTGAGCTGGGAAGGCCTTGGTACACGCCACCCACCGCCACCTCCCTGCCTGGTGCCCAGCGTCGGTGTTCATTTCCACAGTCACGGCAGAGTCCCCAGCTTCCTTGGTGCTGGCCTCATGCTTTCGGCACACTCCTGTCCCTCTGGCCCTTCTTGGGTGGTTGAGCGGCTCTTCCCTCTCACTCCTCCTCGAGCCTCAGGCGCCCATCCCCTCGCCCCCAGCATGAGAGACTGTCACCTTCGTAGAGAAAAGAAAGCCTTAGAGTGCGTGGCCTCCAGCCTCAGCCCCACCTTCCAGACCAGGACCTGCCCTGAGCGGGGCACGCGCCCGTGGTCCTGGTTGTGCGGGGTCTCCTAGCCTTCGTGGGAGTGACACCCACGTGTGCAAGGCCCACAAAGAATGAGCATGTGCCACAGAGGAGGGCCCTGCTCCGTGCCCGTGTGTGTTCTTGGATGTTTCCGCGTGTTTTCCTTGGAGCGGGACCTGAGTGTCATCCCACCCACTGGCACAGTCTGTCTCACTCTGCCTTGAACGCTCCCCTCATAGACAATTAACTGCCTTGTCTTTCATTCTTTAATTTAAAATATGCTCTTGCAATTTGAGGAAAAGAAGATTTTCTCCATCTACGGACACTACCCAGTGATACGGGCCACTCTTCGAAGAAAGGGCTGGGTGGAGAAGAAGTTCCACTTTCTGCCCAAGGTCATCCCAAATGCAGACGATGACAGTGCGGGGGTGCCTGGTAGAGTATCGAAGGTGTCTTGTCTCTCGGTGTAAGGCTTGTGTGTGTGTCTGCCAGAGTGAGTCACACCTCTCCGGGGAGTGCTGTTCTGGCCTGAAGAGCCTGTGACTTGGGCCTCCCCTGCATGTGTGGGGGTCTCCCTGGGCAGGCAGAGGCCGTTGCCCTCCTGGCCTGCCTTCCCCAAGTATCTCCACACCAGGCCTCTGCTTTCAAAGCCTGGTCTGGTTGCTTCTCAGGGTCCCCCCGTCCACGCCCACGACTTCTCAGGGTCCCCCCGTCCACGCCCACGACTTCTCGGTGTCCCCCCGTCCACGCCCACGACTTCTCGGTGTCCCCCCGTCCACGCCCACGACTTCTCGGTGT